GACAAGGGACAGACTTTCCCCTTTTGTTACTCTGTCTCTATAGAGTAACTTGAGGTAAATATGTGGCACCCCCAGCCCTGCTCCTTGTTTCATCTACTTGGGGAATTTATGTTTTTCTGTGAGTTTTAGAGTTATAGCTTCTGTATCTGCCAAGAATGTCATTAATAATTTTAATGAGGATTGAAATGAATCTGAGCCATTTTCAATAATACTGTCATTGAGCCATATTAAGTCTGCCAATCCACAAACATGGGGGTTCCCTCCATCTTCAGCGTCTTCTTCAATTTTCAGTTTAGGTGTATTTCTGGGTATTTTATTCTTTGAGGGGGGACTATTGTAAACAGTTTTCCAGTTCCTTTCTCTACATGCTCATTATTGATGCATATTGACGTACCTTACTAAATTATCAGATTTAAAAAGTCTTCCAACAGATCCAGAAAAATAATGATGTGGGAGCAGAAGATAAGGGATAGTTGAAGAGAAGAATATTAGAGGTGATGGAAAAAAGGAGGCGTTAATGAGGAAAGATATAATCAAAGAACACTATCTGCAGTAATAAAATGTCACATGCTACAAATGTATAATAACAAAACTATGAAAAGGAGGGCTGGAGAGAGAGTTCAGCAGCTAAGAGCACTGGTTGCTCTTTCAGAGAGCCCAGGTTCTATTCTAGAACCTGCATGGCAGCTCACAACTGTCTGTAGCCCCAGCTCCAAGGGATCCCTCTTTTGATCCCTTCTAAGTAACTGATATGCTGTTTCACTTATGAAATGATTACAAGAAAAGAGTTTGTACATTTTCAATTTAGGCAGTAGTTTTCTAGAATTCTCTATAAGAATTTAGAAAGACCCACCTCATTCCACCACCTATCACCAGCAGACAAGCTTTGAGATGAGATGCCTGACATAATTCTCAGCCTCTGTTCTCAGAAAGAGGCTCCCAGGGTGTAGGTCTGCGTTGGAATGAAAAGACTCAAATTCAGAATCACTGAATGTCAGAGTGCAAAGACTCTCCATCTCCACCAAATCCAATGGTTTTCAAAATGGTTCTACAAGGGGCCAGCAAGACGGCTAAGGAGATAAAGGTGCCTGCTGCCCAGCCTAATGACCTGGGTTCAATTCCCAGGATCCACATGGTGGAAGAAGAGAGCCTGACCTCCATACGCACACCATACCTTTCCCCCCCTTCTCTCTCTCTCTCTCTCTCTCTCTCTCTCTCTCTCTCTCTCTCTCTCTCTCTCTCTCTCTCTCTCTCTCTCTCTCTCTCTCTTCTATCTCTCTCTTTCTCTTTCTCTCTCTCTCCTCTCTCTCTCTTTCTCTCTTTCTCTCTCTCTCTCACACACACACACTTACACACAAAATAATGGTGTAATTTTTACAGTTTATAGTGCTTCTAAAGAAGTCTGGGGTTGTATGTAGATGTAGGAGGCAGAGACACAAACAGGGACATTACTGAGCCAATCTGGTACTCCATTTCCACCTGAGAAACTCCCATATGAATCACTTAAATATTGAGATCGCATAGTCTGAACTACAATCTTAAATCTGAGGCCTACTCCCAGCCCTTGCTCTGGCCTAGAAGAAATAAAGCTTGGAAGGATGTTCTCAGGGTCCTGATAAAATCAGCTTAGCGCACGCGCGTGCGCGCGCGCACACACACACACACACACACACACACACACACACACACACACACTCCATCCTGATGCTTTTTTCTTTCTTTTTTTTGCGGGGATGGTGGGGAATCAGGGTCTCTTCATGTAGCCCTGGCTGTCCTGGAACTCTCTATGTAGAACAGGCTGACCTCAAACTCACAATGATCCACCTGCTTCTGCCTGAAACCTGTCACTGGCATCTCTGGAGTTTCTGTCTAACAAGCTGGCATTAAAGTTTAGGCAGGTGACTCTAGTCTAGGGAAACTGAGGCCCTCACAGACCCTACCTAGAAAGCCTAACCATCCCACCAGCTCTGCCAGCTACCCAGCCTCCTGGGGAGTGGGAACTGAATGATGCCTGCGGAGCAAAATCCCTGGAGATGTTCTGTTGTCGAGCTGTAGCACCCATGAATCACTGCAATTAGATAGCACTGGGAATTGCCACAAAGGGAGCAGAGGGGTGACAGTATAAAGTTCTGGGTGAGCAACAGTGGGGGAGACCAGCACCAGCAAGAACTCAGCTCTAATTCCAAGTGAGGGCAGTGAGAAGGGGATTCAACTCCATGAACACCTGCAGCTCATTTCTGCTTTTCTCGTCCCTGCTCTTTCCAGTCTGCCATGCCACCCGGAAAGGACAGAAGGCAGTGCGAACTTCATCTCTTGCCCCATTAAGTGGAAATGGCTTGAAAGACACTTTCTCCTTGAACCGGCTGTGCTTAGCAACTTGATTTAAAAATGAGAAGCTTCCTGATATCTTTCTGCAGACCTCTTAAATCAGAATTCACAGGAGTGGAACCCTGGAATCTATATTTTTATAAAGATCTCCATTGATTTTCATGCTGTCAGTCCAGCTCCGAATTGTTATAGCAACTAAATTTGGGAGCCTCCACACATGTCCATATTGAAGGGGCCTGGTGCTATTTTAAAACATTGAGGAAGGAGGAGATGAGGGTGGAGAGAAAGAGAGAGTCGATTTTTTTAAAAGGAACAGAAGAATTAGACAATTGGGCTGGAGTGATGGCTCAGTAGACAACGTCATACAGGCATGAAGATCTAAGTCCAGCCAGACAGTGGTGGTGCACACCTTGAATCACAGAACTTGGGAGGCAGAGGCAGGTGGATCTCTGAGTTTGAGGCCAGCTTGATCTACAGAGCAAGTTCCAGGACAGCCAAGGCTACACAGAGAAACCCTTTCTCAAGAAGGAAGGAAGGGAAAGAGGAAGGGAGGGGGAAAGGAGGGAGGGAGGGAGGGAGGAAGGGAGGGAGGAAGGGAGGGAGGGAGACCCAAGTCCAGACTCCCCAGAGCCTACGTAAAGCCAAAGAAGACAGCACACATCTATAATCCTAGCAGCCCTACAGTGAGATGGGAGGCAGAGACAGGAGGGTCCCTGGAATCTCAAGAGCCAGCTAGTCTGGTGCACACAAAGAAAAGCAATAGAGACCCTATCGCTGAACACCGTGGGAGGTGAGGACCAACACCTATAGTTTTCCTCTGGCCCTCACATGGGAACTGTGGTGTGTGTGTGCTCGTGCAGAGGGAGGGAGGGGAGAAACTAATGTGAAAACATGAATTGGACAAGATGATCTACCCATTAAGTGAAAGGTTGATGGAGAACCCAGTTACTGTGCGACCAGGACAATGACAAAGATGTTAGAACAACTTGGTGTTATATGTCCAATATGATCGAAAGAGAAATCCCAAATGAGTGTGGTGGTAAACACCTATATTACCAGAACTAGAGTGACTGAGGCAGGGGGATAGCAAGTTTGAAGCCATGCCCATGTGAGCATGCAAGCCTCCCATCAGCCTCTCTGTGTCATATTGCTTTCTAGAAAGTCGACTAAACAAAATATAATGTACACGATAATAATTAAATAAACATAGCAATGTTGAACTATGGTTACATAGTTAAGTAAAATATGCATGGGAAACGAGGATGATAGCTGTGTCAGTAATGTACTAGCCCTGCGTGCATAAGGGCCTGAGTTCAATCCCCAAAACCCACATAAAAAAGCCAGGTGTGGCAGTGTGAGCCTGTAATCCCAGCATTGGAGAGGTGGAGACAGAAGAATCTATGGGGCTCTAGAGCCATCCAGCCTGGCCTATGTAGTAAATTCTAGGCCAGTGAAAGACACTGTCTTTAAAAAGAAAGTAGATGGTGCCTGAGGAACCACATGCCCAGACAAACATGTGCACGTGCAACTGCACACACATGCACCTCTACATGCACTCACATATTAAAAAGTAAAGCTAATTCTTCCTAGGATTTAATCCACTCAAGGGACCACCAATGTACTATTATCTTATTTAATCCCTCAACACGCTCAAATGTGGCTACTATTATCTTGCCCATGTACAAAGAGTCTCAGGAGACTCAAGTAGGTCACCTGAACCATGCCAGGAGTCACTGGGGGAGCCCGGTTACCTGAACCACAAATGGCAGATGGAGAAAAAAGCCCTGGGAAGGAGAATCACTTTTTGTTCCTCCTCAGGAGTCTGTTTAATGGTAGAGAGGCCAGAACCCTTGCTTTGAATAGCTGAGCAATTTAGAAAGACTCATGTGGGTTCTCCTTTTTTCAGCTTGAAGATAGGAGGGAGCCTTGAAACATCCAAGACCAGACCTTTGACAATGATGTTCAACCCAAATATTCTGTTTTCCTTCCCAGACTGTTCCCCAGTTGCAGCTGAAACTCACCAGAGCCACCAAGCCACTGGGAGTTACAGTCAAGAAAACCTAGGGCTCACTGCTAATCTTAACACTTACCAACCTTGAGGAGCCCTTTGGGTTCTCTATGTCTGTGACTGGTCTACAGAGAGGGGCCATACTCAGGTCTCCTTCACGGAAGAAGACTTGTTTCCCACACAAAGTGGGCAATGAACAAGTGTTACTTCCTAACCTTCAGACCCTGCAAATGTCTCCCCATATTCCAGGTCCAGAGCTCATTGACCAGTGACCCACAACCATGATCAGCCAATACCTGAAGCCCACCAGGCATCTGAAGCTGTTTGGATTAATGTACTGTCTGGTGATATCTCTCCTGGCATTGCAACTCTACTAGAATGCAAACCCAGAAGTCAGAAACTTGTCCCCCTATTCTAGACACTGCATAGCATACATGTAAATGTCTCATTCTGCAAATGCTTGTGGATAAGTGCAAACAACAGCAGAGCACCACTCTATGAGTCAGAATACCTAGCACCCTGGAGACATCCACACCACAGGATCCACTTGAGTTTGTCCTGTAAGAGACACTGAAAATCGTGGCAGGTCCAGGGCAAGGGATCCAACCCCCAGAAGACCAGAAGCATTTTAGCCAGCTGGCCATGACACCTACCAACTCTCTACTCTGTCAGGCCAGGGACTGGACATGTCCTCTTTGTTATTTGTGATGTCTCTGTTGGAATTGGAGAATGCAGCATCAATGGCCACATCAGCAGCAGCAGTGTCTGCAAATGCAGCAGGCTGGTCAGCCTGCTGGAGAGATCCAGGCTGATCAAGGAGCCAAGGGCCCGCTCCCCTGGGCATATCCCGCTGCTGCGGCTGACCACAGTAATTCATCATGTTTAAAACCTCACCCATGGGAGGGGCCCAGAAAGAGGCATACAAGCCAAGCTACAGGTTCCGAAGGAAAGTGTGTGTGTGTGTGTGTGTGTGTGTGTGTGTGTGTGTGTCTGTGTCTGTGTGTGTGTGTGTGTAATCTTTTTTATCGATTGTAAAAGGACAATAAGAAACAGTCAATCTGCAGGATGTTACATAAACAAGATCCAGAAGAGAATTCTTGTGGAGTAAATAGTCAAAACAATGTAAAGAAAATCAGCATCCCTAGGGAAAAAGTTCCCCTTTTCCTCATAGGAACTACTTACCTGTTCTGAGACTTTATACCCCACTCCTTTCATGGGTAGCAAGCTCAGACAGGAGTGTATCCAAGCCACTGAGTGACCTTGGAAAAGTCACTTGTATTCTTCTCTCTCTCTCTCTCTCTCTCTCTCTCTCTCTCTCTCTCTCTCTCTCTCTCTCTCTCTCTCCCTCCCTCCCTCCCTCTCTTTCCCTCCCTCCCTCTCTCTGTCTCTCTGCGTGTGTGTCTGTGTGTGTACTAGTATATAAGTGCATATGTGTGCATTCATCATGCATGCATGCATGTGGATACCAAAGATCAATCTCAGCTGTGTGTGTATGTGTGTATATACAAGTGCACACATATATATGCATGCATGTAGATACCAGAGATTAATCTCGGTTCTCATTCCTCAGACATTCTGATCTTTTTCTTTTGTTTTAATTATTTTATCTTACTTTATGTCTATGGGTGCTTTGCCCGTATATATGTCTGTATACCATGTGCATGCCTGGTGCCTCTTAGAGACCAGAAGAAGGCATTGGATCCTCTTGAACTGGACTTACAGACAGTTATGAGCTGCTATGTGGGTTCTGGAAATTAAACCCAGGTCTTCTGGTAAAGCAGCAAATGCTCTTAACTGCTAAGCCATCTCTCCAGGCCCTCTGCACTTTGTTTTTTGAGACAAGGATCTCTTACAGTCCTCTAGTGAGCTCACTGGTTAGGCTGGGCCAGGTGACCGGAGAGCCCCAGACATCTGCCTGTCTCTGCCTCCCCCGCACTGAAATTACAGGTGCATTACTCTACACCTGGCTTCTATACGTCTCAGGGTATCAAACTGTGCTTAAAAGGTAAGCACTTCACCAGCTGAGCCAGCACCCCAGGCCCATTTCCATTCCTGTTATCTCTAAGAAGGAATAGCTAGATCAGGATACACAGGTCTGATGGTGTGGAAGTAGCTCGTGCAAGCAGTCTACTTAGGTGTATATAGCAGGCAGGTCCAGGACAGTGGTGCTAAGCTGTTCATGAGGTCATCAGTATAAACCTGGGAGGGTTCAACAACCAATACAGAGTGAGACTCTCACGAGCTACTTATTATCCCCACTATAGAGCCACTGGGGACACTTGTGGCTCTTTGAAATTCCATTTGCTTCAGCAGTGCTATGGATTCTCCCCTATGGGACCAGCTCCTGGACACCATACCAGACTTAGCAACCAGGTGTACCCATGGAAGGCTGGTCTACAGCCCCAGAATGCCCCTTCTCCCAGACAGGAACAGGAGAGGTAAGGGCAAGGAATGGGAGAATAAGGGGAAAAATAGGGGCAGTGGGCCTTCATTGACATAGTCTAAGCATTTCCCCAAGTGAGAAACTGAGACTTGAGGTCAAATCTTTATTTCAGAATCCTTCAGTCATTGAGAACCAAAGGCAGGATTCCAAACCAGGTCAGACTTGAAGCCCCAGCTTTCTTCCTCTTCCACATTTACCCTCAAATATGACCAGGGACACCTTGGCGAGAACAGAAAGGCATCACTGGTCTCAGCATCTGTGAGCTACTGTAACTAAAAGCCATGGATGAGGTCATTCAGAGCAATGGAAATATACAGCTCACAACTCTGGAGGGTGGGAAGGCCAAGGTCAAAGCAATGATAGACTCAAAGTTTGAAGGACCATTTTTCTGCCTCCAAGATGATATATTCTAGCTGTCCCTACATAGAGAAGGCCAACAGCCTCCCTACAGCCTTGTAAAGGCATCAAGCCCATTAGTGAGGACAGAATCCCCATGACTTAATCTCTGAATACCACAGCTTTTAATATTTCCATGTTGGGGAATAGTTTTAACATGAGAATTTGGAGTAAACACTCAGACCACATCAGCACTACATACTTATATGTAGGCTCCAAAAACATGTACTTATGGGGCTTGAGAGTTAGCCCAGAAGTTAAGAGCTCTGTCTGCTTTTGCAGAGGTTCACAACCACCCTTGAATGTGAAAAGAATGGGATCCTAAAAGACAGCCTTGAAATTGGCAGAACCAATACACCAGGAAATGATCCCAGGGCTCCAGGTGTGACAGTTTGAGGTAGTCAACAAGTGCCTGAAATGGCATGTTCCTCAGTTCCTCCTGAAGAAAATGAGCTAAAGACCCTCACAGAAGAAAATCTTCATCAAGACCTCAAAGATTTAGAAGGTGGTAGTCAGGCTGCTGGGAGAGAAAAGTTGACAATCATCTCCCCTAGATGTGAACTCTGTGAGTCACAATACCAACATGCCTGGAAAGATGTGCCCACTGGTACAATAGTGGCATGATGGTTATGGGGGAAACCAACCACTTTCTGCTTGAATTTGAGTTCTGCTCCATTCATATATGACATTGTAAACCTGCTCAAAAGCTCATGGCTGGGAGGTCATAGGCCCTTGGAGGAGGGGGCTATGGACATGATACCCAACTGTTCTCTAAATATTTGCACTTATATCCATAGATCAGTGCTGCTGCCACCCTCAAGCAGAGAAGCTTCTCTTTGTAGCAAGGGACAGTGCAGACATTTGTGACTAGCCAAATTGCTGAGAGCAAGTGATTGTTAAGTGCTCAACCCTAAATGGGACATCTCTTCCACCCCCTTAAGGCTCAGGGAATATCATAGAAGAGGGGCTGGAAACAATGGAAGAGCAGGGTGGTGGGTATAAGTATCACTCTAAAACACCGTCTTCTAGACACAGCAAGCCTAATGCATCCGTGAACATACAGTAGCAGTGACCACCCAAGACCAGCACAAGATTGAGTACACAAGCATTGCACCATGGACAGGGAAAGAGTCCGTAAGACCCCAACCCTCTCAGGTGATCTATAGACAGTTGCAGAGAAGGAGGTCATATTCCTCAGTGGTATATGTGTTAGTACATTGCTGCCACTACAGCAATAACCCCACATCCATGCTCATGCAGGCAACCTCTAATTAAATGCAGTATGTCACAAAAAAAGGCCACGAATGTAGGAGGGAGGCTTTAGGAGGAGATTTGGTGGGATGCAAAGAGAATAATAAGGATAATAAGAGAACAATAATTCTTTGGTCAAAGAATATTGTATGTGTGTATAAAGTTATAAAGAATACACACATACACACACACACACACACACACACACACACACACTTCCTGGCTTTAGTCTCTCTTTAGCAGAAGCATCCTCAGTAGCACCCAGCAGCTTCTGACAGGGGACCATTACTCACTGGACAGGCAGCCTGGGAAACCCCAGCCATCTGCTTCAGTCCCAGCATGTTTCCAGCCCTGCAGACAAATGCATCACAGACAGGAAAGGCCGGGCCACCATCTGCACATAGCCTTTACTAAGGGTCTGCAATATCTTAGGGTCTTGGCCCAGCTGTTTGTCCATCCTGGGGAGGGAGCCCTACTGGCCTGACCTACATGGGCCTTTGGCCCTTCTTGACCTGAATAAATCACCTAGGAGTCTTCTATCTGCTCCATAGTGAGCAGCTTCCTTGCTCATGGAAAAAAAAATGTTTTAACCTTGAAAGCAGGAAAGTGTGGGATACAACTCCTGGGGCAGAAGTTCTCAACCTGTGGGTCAAGACCCCTTGGGGTCAAGTGGCCTTGCCATGGGGATCACTTAAGACCATTGGAAAATGAAGATATGATTCATTTACACTATGATTCACAAATAACAAAATTACAGCTATGAAGTAGCAATGAAATAATTTTATGGCTGGGGGCCACCACAGCATGAAGAACTATATTAAAGGGTGGCAGCATTAGGAGGTTGAGAAGCACTGGCCTAGGGCCAGGGCCTTATGGACCCTTCCCCTGTCCACAATGGAATATTTGTGGGCTCAGTCTTGTGCAGATCTTGAGTGGCCACTGTTGTGAGTTTGTGGATGTTACACCCATGCCATGTCCAGAAGACAGAGCTCTACAACAGCACTTAATCCTATCCCTCTGCTCTTGCAGTCTTTCTGCCCTTAGGCCTTCACCTTCTGTGATCTTACCTGAGCCTTAAATGACTGGAGTAGATGCCCACTTAGGGCTGAGCACTGAACACTTGTTTAAGGATGGAATAAAGGTTACTTTACCTTGGTCTATATTTGTACAAGACTAAAGAAATAACTGCTTTCTGTGGTGTCTCTTCCTACAGAAGTTGAGAAAGGGGCTTCCACTCAAAAGGTCTTTGGTGAGACTCCCAAAGAAGTCATGTGAAAGGAGAAAATAGTGGCCATTTCTTATTTTACTTTGCTTTTCTTTGTTTTTTTGGGGGGGAGGTGCATGTGTGTGTTCACAGGGAGGCCAGAGGTGAGCATCAGGTGTCCCATTCAATAACTCTCCACCTTGTTTCCTGAGACCAGGTATCACTGGTCCATAGAACTCACTGGATCAGCTCAGATGCCTGGCCAGCAAGCCTCAGAAACCAAGGATCTTCCTCAGCTCTAGATGACATGTGCTCTCTGCCTAGGCCAGCTTTGACATGAACAGTGGTGAACTCAGCTCCTCATGCTCACCTGACAAGTATTTTTATCAACTAGACATCTCCCCAGGCCCAGGAGAAGCCATTTTTGCTGCAACACTCCATTAATGTTCTTCTATGGAATGGATTGATTCCCCCAAGACAATGAGTCAAGAAGGAGGCCCAGTCTTCTGGGGACCCTGTGACCAGTCCTATATGGAGAGAGTATTAAATAGAGGCCATGGAGTTACCTCCAGACTTCCAGTCCTAC